ATATAAAAATAAACATCATTTTTAACACCACTTAGATAATTTAAATTAAGCAATTAATTTGTTAAAAGTTAATTTTTATTTTTTATATAAATTAATTGTAAAAAATATAATAAATAAATCACATAAATAAAAAAAACTCATTAATTAATTACACATTTGGTAGTCCCCAACCTTTAGAGGCACTTGTGAAATCATTCTCAACCTTTAAAACTGAGCAGTTAAGTTCTTGTAATGTAGTGTTTTGAAGGATTCCCCATTCCCAATAATTTTTTTTTTTCTCTTTTTCCTGCTGCCCCAAATGGTTTTCCCAAGAAAAATCTTGATAACACGGAAATGCTAACGGCTGTCCTCACATCCCTATCAGAATGGAAATGTTTCATTTTCTTCTTAATGAACTGCATATGGGATACAACTGGACTGGATAATGCAGACCACTGCAGAGCCTTCACGAAATCAAAATGATATAAAATCAATTTCCGGATTTATACACACATGCATAATTGAAAATTGTGTTTTTGTAAATTATTTTTTAAAATTATTTATAGAGAAGAATATTTTATTTTATTCAATGAAAAAAGACTTTCAATATTAAACATTCATATTTTATAATTTAAAATAATTTGAATCGTAAAATATAATTTTAAAAATTATAAGGATTAAATTAATATAAAAATTAATATATATGATTTATATAAATACAAATTTTAATTTAAAAATACTAATCTAAAATTAATTTTTTTTGACAAATCTTCCATAAAAAAATTGTAAGAGGAGAGACTTATCATGTCCTCTATTCACAATTTGTCCGATTCATTAAATTAGTGTTCTAGGGGACCACTGACCTCTGTTTTTCTTTTCAATCTTCATACTTCAAAACCACATAATTTCGGTTTATTTTGTCGTGCACGTGTAGCCTAACAGTGAAGGTTCATGTTCGAAACAGTTTAACAAGTGAAATATATCATTAACAGTTGTGAGAATTGAAAGACTACCTGATAATTTGTCTCAACAAGTAAAATACAACAACCATCCAAACGGTAGTTTTGGTGGTTCAGCATATATATCAGACTGCATTTGTGTCTTTGATCGATCCTTGAATGCGAGATGTTGGAACAGGGGGAAGGCATGGAGTTGTCATTGCCCACACAAGTTAATGCTGCCTCTGAGAGTTGCTACCACCATGCTCTGCAATCACAACTATATGTGAGAAAAGTGCAAGTAAATTGAAAACCACTTTGAGCAAGACATTGTTCAAGCATATATCTACCTACATTGCTGAAGAACACCAGAATATAATTTGAAGAATACTTAACTTGTATTCAGGATAAGGAGAATACATTGTACATATGTGAATTTATATTTACAAAAGTGAATATAGATCCTATAGTTATGCCTAACATTGGAGAATATTAGTGTTGTATACTTTGACCGTTGCTCCCTTTATCATTCTTTGACTTCAGTTGATTCACTATGATTGTTTCCATATATGCTGAGATATTGAAATACTTTTCTCACTTGTATCAAACTCTTGTGATTTTTCCTTTGCCTTTATACTCCCCCTCAAACTGTAGTGGCGTGAGGCAACCACACCCAATTTGAATCTTAACAACTTAAACTGTGCATAAGGCAGTGGCTTTGTAAGTATATTTGCAAGTTGGTCGATGCTAGAGATATATCTTGTCACCAGGGTACCAATTGCTACTTTCTCTCAAATGAAATGGTAATTTAACTCAATGTGTTTGGTGCGAGCATGAAAAACAGGATTAATAGACATATGCAGAGTACTAATGCTATCTGAAAACAATTGAGGAGGTGATGGTAAGGAAATTCCAATATCTTGTAGTAGATAGGTAATCTAGACTATTTCAGCTGTAGTGGAAGCTAGTGCACGGTACTCTGCTTCAGCAGTGGAGCGTGCAATAGTCGGTTGCTTTTTGGAGGACCAAGAGATACAGTTTGCTCTGAGGAAAATACAGAAACTGGTTGTACTCCTTCTTGTAGTTGTATAGCCTGCCCAATTGGCATCGTAGAAGTCAGTTAAGGACAAAGGATTATTAGAATAAAACTGAAGGCCATAATGCAGCGTACCCTTAATATACCTTAAAATCTGTTTAACCTGACGTAAATGAGCAAGAGTGGGACTCTACATAAATTGCCATACTTTGTTAATAGCATGGCAAATGTCAATCCGAGTGATAATTAGATATTGTAGAGCACCAACAATTTTCCTGTATTCCTTTGCATCAATGATCTCCTTATCCCTTGAAGTGGTGTTTTCCTTGACAGCTAATGGTGTTGATATAATGGAGGCTTCAAGCATAGCAGTCCAAGAGAGGAGATCAGTTGCATACTTTGCTTGAGATAAGAAAATTCCCCCATTAAACTTGACAACCTCGATACCAAGGAAACAATTGAGTGTTCCAAGATCTTTGAGTGCTCCAAGATCTTTGAGTGCAAACGTGCTCATAGTATGATCAATTATTTTTTGCAGCTAGATTTCTGAACTTGCGGTAAAAACAATGTCATCAACGTAAAGGAGTAGTAGGGCAGTACCTTGACTAGTATGAAGCACAAATAGAGAAGAGTCAGCTGGACTACACTTAAACCCCAATTTCAAAAGATGCAAGGTGAATGTATCAAACCATGCCCTTGGTGCTTGTTTGAGGCCATAGATGATCGATTAAGTTGACAAACATAATTAGGATGCTTTGGGTCTTTGAAGCTTGGCGGTTGAGTCATATAGACTATTTCTTTAAGTTTTCCATGAAGAAATGCATTCTTCACATCTAATTGTTTGAGAGACCAAGCAAGTATGGTTGCCAATGCAATAACCAAGCGAAGTGTGGTTGATCTCAGAACAGGACTGAAAGTCTCATCGAAGTCTACTCTTGGCATTTGAGAGTATCCTTTAGCTACTAGGCGAGCCTTGAATCTGTCTAAGCTACCATTTGGGTGGAGTTTAGTTTTAAATATCCATCTGGAGCCGACAATGTTTTTTGATGGTGAGGGTGGTGGAACTAATTTCCACGTTTCATTCTTGTGCAAAGCATCCAATTCTTCTTGCATGGCCTT